TGTCACTATAAAATGAAAGGATGTTTTGCTGCCTCTTGCAGCAGCTGCAGTCTGAGAAAAAGAACTTAATTCACTGGGCCGACTTCTGCCAACCTTTAAGGTGGAATGTTTACTTGTAATGTTGCTCAATGCGTGAGTTGACAAGGTGAATCCATCAGCACACCTTAAAGGGATAGTGCACCCAAAAATGAAAATTCAGCCATTATCTACTCACCCATATGCCGAGGGAGGCTCAGGTGAAGTTTTAGAGTTCTCACATCCCTTGCGGTGATCCCAGGGGAGAGGAGCTAGCAACAAAACTCCACCTAAATGGAGGCTTACAGCGCCCCAGATTCAAACGTCAACAAACACATTAATGAAACCACAAAAAAAAAAAAAAGAAAAACGTCATTTGAACTCTGTTTTTAGCTTCATTGTAGCCTGTAGCTCTAACTGCTTCTCTGTACACTGTGCTACAATGAGGCTAAAAACAGAGTTCAAATGACGTTTTTCCAAACAACTTTTTATGTCGGGGCTTCAGGACACTTGGATCACTACGGACGAGCAGTATGGAGATATTCTGTGGTTTCAGTTATGTGTTTTTTTTGGACGTTTTAATCTGGGGCACCGTCAGCCTGCATTAGGTGGAGTTGTGTTGCTACCCCCTCTCCCCTGGGATCTCCGCAAGTGATGTGAGGACTCTAAAACTTCACCTGAGCCTCCCGGGGAGTATGGGTGAGTAGATAATGGCTGAATTTTCATTTTTGGGTGCACTATCCCTTTAAATTTAAAATGTAACCATTACTTTACTTGTGATAACACCTGCCCACATTTAAGGGTATTGTTTGCAATGGAAACACTCAATGGACCTAGAGTGAAGGTACCATGTCCGAAGGTTTATTTTTGGTTCTAAAGGTACCATACCGAAAGTGTTTGGTGGAAATGGGCTTAAGTGGCTGCCACACAAATGCATTGAAGGATTAATACAAAATAAACACGCAAATGATAAAGAAATTCAGGGGGATGGAACAGAATGGTTAATAATGCCTGAGGGGGCGAACACTGACAGAGAGTTTGGATGAATTCTTAGTGTCTCCAGCAGAACCAACATCTTGCCAAAGCAGACTGCATCCATTCAGATTTAAACCCCATATATAAATTTGTATCGATTCTCTTTCACTGCTGCTTATTCCCCCATAACAGTGTCACCAATAAACTATGTTACTATCTGTCAGACCTCAAGCAGAGGCCATAGATTATAGGTCTTGTGCATATTCTCCATGGCTGAGAAGAGAACGTCAGGATCACACTGCCGTCTTTTTTCCTATCTATATTCATTGGTTACGAGCAGCAGTAAATCCAAAGCCCTGTTGAGATTAGAGAACTGTCCAGAGTTGGAAATTGAAGCCTAGTGTTTATCCTGCTGGTCAGGCCTCCTGGGCTACAGCGACAGACGCTATCATGGCCGAGCAAGAAGCCCCTGATATTTAGAGGGTAATAAAAACTAATAGGGACATGCAAAAGCAATTTTCTCATCTCTTATGAGCTGAAGGGTGGATATGTTCAAGTTCTAGAAAAGAAAACAAGTGTTAGTGTCCACTGGAGATGATAGAAGGAGTTGTCTATCTTTTCACCCGTGTCTCTTCTTATCCGTTATTATATCTAAACCACACTGAGTCTATCTGCCAGCCCGCTGCCCTTAATGTCAGAGGACACAAAAAGTCATCTCGTCGCCACTGACAGATGATTGTCAGAGGTGATACAAAACCCAGCAGCGCTAGCTTTCCATCACAATAAGGAATTGATTCTAAGAAGTCATCAGTGCTGCTGTCTGTGTCTATTTATCTCCTGTTCAGGGTGGTTGACCACAGAGATATGGTGGTGACAGCCACACAGCAATGTCCATACCTTGGCGCCCCCAATGGAAAAAAAGAGTCAAAGATCACACTGAATCCACAGTCTTGCTAATTAGTCTTATAGATTCAGCGAGTAGCATTTTTAAAGAATTCTGCCTTTTATAATCAACCCACTGAACATAATAAATGTTTGATTGTTAGGATTTTTTTTTCCCTTCGCAGCAGAAAACAAATCATGATTTCTTGTTTATTATGACAAAGACATTCCATCTCTCACATTGATTACGTTCCCCAAAACCACTTTGCAATCAGTGTCAGTAGCAGCCACCGGTGTGAATATCAAACATGTTTGGTTTTTCATCTGAAACAGGCAGGGAGGAGAGCACTTGTGATCACATGATGCACTTTACACTTAGGTGAGAGCTTTACACTTAAATATCTGCATTACATGAGAACTAAAGACATTCAAACTGAAGGAAAATCCACCACCAGGGACTGTTACTCTGTGTTTTGCAATCATCTCAGAGATTCAGGCACAGGGAATCGTAAAGGTACAAAGCTACAGTATTATTTTGATAGGGATATGTTAAGGCATTTTAAAAAGTTACATTTTATTGAATTAAAAAATGTTCTTGGCTCTCAATCCAGTCCTTGGTGGTGTGCTGCCACTGCCATACCCTTCACTTTAATACCACTGAATCAGCGTCTTAGGGGTCAGCACATCTAGGGTTTTAAATTGAATTTGATTGAACTATAAAAACCAGTCGTTGCTCTTTCCATTGAAAATAATGATGACCTTGCTCAGCACAGTGTTGGCTGCTGTTTTCAGGGACAAATCTCTGATAAACCCTCTGCACACTATCTACCCAGCTTGTAAAACGTAGCGACTAGTTGGTGTAACATAGTGGATCATTTATTGCCTGAAGAGTAAGATATTTTAGTCAGGATTTAAGGCTCAGACATACTTAAAGCATTGAACGTTCGCGGACAGTTGAAGTCATGCATGTGGTTCCTGTCATATCACAACTGAGGGTGTGAGGGAGGGCTGGGAAGCTTAGTGTCCTCTCACTGCCAACATCAGATAGAACTGGAGCTAAGAGGACATTGCTGGGACCAGAGAACATGTCAAATGTCTGCAGAATATCCAGCTTAGAACTAACTTCACTGCAATACGGGGCCACTGCTGGCTTAACCACAATGTTTTGAACAGGACTGGACTGGATTGTAGAGCAAGAGATTATATTTTGAAAGTGGAGCATGTGCAGTGGGATAGGTTTACTGTCAACGCAGTCACAAAAAAAGGGCTGCACACAGATGTCCCCAGACCTCCATGCAGACCCCCTGCAGACATAGGTGGATGACAACATTTACGTCACGTGGAGACCACATTCGGAGCTAAAACAAGATAAATATTGGCCTTACCAGGTGGCCATGTGAATGCTTACGTTGCTACATATCCGATGGAAGCGTAAGTAGGCCCACTGTTTGCAGAAAGTTTCCCACGTCAGCTTTAAAGGTGATAACACTTCAGTGTTGTCACAGCTGATTTCTGCTGTCCCCAAGTGGTCAAAATAATTAGTTACTGCATGTTTTAAAAAAATGTTTTAGTAACTGTGTAAACACCTGTTTATATCCAGGTCACTGTGAAGATGCAGTAAAGTGAAGCTGTCCTGTGACTCAACATTATATTTAGACATAAGCAGAGAATATATCATCTGTGAGGCTTTAATAAAGGGTTAGGATTTTTGAAGAGGGATCATGTAAGGTATTTATACACTCACCGGCCACTTTATTAGGTACACCTTGCTAGTACCAGGTTGGACCCCTTTTGCCTTCAGAAGTGCTTTAATTCTTGGTGTCATAGATTCAACAAGGTGCTGGAAACATTCCTCAGAGATTTTGGTCCATATTGACATGATAGCATCACACAGTTGCTGCAGGTTTGTCGGCTGCACATCTATGATGCGAATCTCCCGTTCCACCACATCCCAAAGGTGCTCTATTGGATTGAGATCTGGTGACTGTGGAGGCCACTGGAGTACAGTGAACTCATTGTCATGTTCAAGAAACCAGTTTGAGATGATTTGAGCTTTGTGACATGGTGCGTTATCCTGCTGGAAGTAGCCATCAGAAGATGGTACAAGGCAGGATGGATCCATGCTTTCATGTTGTTTACACCAAATTCTGACTCTACCATCTGAATGTGGCAGCAGAAATCCAGACTCATCAGACCAGGCAACGTTTTTCCAATCTTCTATTGTCCAGTTTTGGTGAGCCTGTGTGAACTGTAGCCTCAGTTTCATGTTGTTAGCTGACAGGAGTGGCACCTGGTGTGGTCTTCTGCTGCTGTAGCCCATCTGCTTCAAGGTTGGACGTGTTGTTGGTTCAGAGATGGTCTTCTGCAGACCTTGGTTGTAACCAGTGGTTATTTGAGTTACTGTTGCCTTTCTATCATCTTGAACCAGTCTGGCCATTCTCCTCTGACCTCTGGCATCAACAAGGCATTTTCACCCAGAGAACTGCTGCTCACTGGATATTTTCTCTTTTTCAGACCATCCTCTGTAAACCCTAGAGATGGTTGTGCATGTAAATCCCAGTAGATCAGCAGTTTCAGAAATATACAACAACCATGCCACTTTCAAAGTCACTTAAATCACCTTTCTTCCTCATTCTGATGCTGGTTTGAACTTCAGCAGGTCGCCTTGACCATGTCTACATGTCTAAATGCATTGAGTTACTGATGACAGTTGTGTTTGGCTGATTGGCTATTTGCACTGACGAGCAGTTGAACAGTTAAAAAATCCCGAACTAACCCTTTAAAGCGAACAAGAAGTATGCCTACAGTATAATCATGGAGTGACCGCATATGTATGTCATATATATGTCATATTTTAAATCTGCACCTTCATGCTGCAGTGCTATGAGAACTGTTTAAGGTAAATGCAGCCTGTAATGTACAGAACATCCTATGCACACTGTATTTATGGACAGCCATTTAGCGGTGAACTTTCTACCGTTCAGCCCCTCAACACAGACGTGCACGCGCACACGCGCACCTGCCTCTCACCTCCTGAAAGACGTCAATGTGTTTCCTCCTCCTCTCTCCATCGTCGGATTTCTCACTTGTGGCAGAGGAGAAGCGGACGCAACTTTTATTTTTTTTTCTCAGAGACGCGGAGCGGACTCAGACCTTTTGTCTGCTCTGTGGTGACTCTCCAACAACACCTCGGCTCTGTTTCATTCTTCGCAGAGACGAATCGCGGGACCTTCTGCAACGTTTACTGGTGAGTGTCTTCTAGGTTTTATCTGGAAACTCATCAGAAATTAATACTTCTTTAAGAAAGATAAAGCATCTCTTTTTCAATTATTAGTCTACATCTGAGTGTTTTTGTTTGCTTGTTTTTTACTGTGTTGATTTTAATTCACAGACTGTGACCCCCCTGCAGGATGTGATAACCTCTAACAGTTTAATACTCCAACTGAGACCACCTGCAGCTTAATAGAGCCAAGTTTGGTTTTATAAACTACCCCAGAGCACTAATTCAAAGTCAATTTTCCTTCTACCTCTGCAGATGTTATTATTAATTTATTTTTGCATGGCACTGCATTAAAAATAGACCATCACTGATCACCTCAAGCAATAACTTCTTTCATTTACTTTAATGAGGCACCACCTCTGTGGAGATCCCATAAATCCTGATTGTAAAAGCAAGCTATTTAAGATCATTTCTTTGTCTCTCTTGCATTGTAATAATTGCCTTGTGCTACTGCATCAACATAAACGTGGTTTAATCTGGTGAAATGTATTATTTTTTTCCTTTAATTGGTTTTATATTACACTTTTGCTTTACCTCATGTTTGCAGGGGGGTTTAAGTGACCACTTTTGCAGCAAATCAAACGCCCTGTCAACACACTGAGCCTAGTCTGTGAAGTTGGCTTGCTGTAAAGTGACAAGGTCTTAATAAATTACACAAAGGTCTTTGCTCAACCCACATTTTTCATCAGAAACTATCACAGAAATGTCGCAGATGCCAGCTTGATTACGTCTGGAGCACTGAGCTCATGTAATTTGTTTTGATCATATGTTGTCGCCATGAATCCTGACCCTGCGTGAGTAATGCTGACATGGGAACTTTCTGTTCCAGGTGAAGATGAGCTGCTGCACACAAACAAGTTCATAATTAAGCTCAAGGAATCATTGGCGCCATGCACCAAAAAGCACCCTAATTTTTCACTTAATTTCTTGGATCAATTTTTCTCAATCACAAGTAAATAAGAGCACGTGCTACGACATGGGGGACTCCAATATCAGCCACATAGTAGCAGCTTATACAGAGACGCAGGAGAATCTCCCAGCAGGCAAGTTGGATCATTACATGGACACCTACGACATGGACTACGGCATCCCTCCTGATGAGATCCCAGACACGACACAAGGCCAAGCTTTCTTCGTGGCCACCATTGTTATCGGCGTGGTGCTTGTCTGCATCATGCTCGTCTGTGGTTTTGGAAACTTCATATTCATCGCTATGCTGACACGCTACAAGAAGCTCCGCAACCTCACCAACCTGCTCATTGCAAACCTGGCCATCTCAGACTTCATTGTGGCAGTGGTGTGCTGCCCGTTCCTGGTGGACTACTATGTGGTCAAACAGCTTTCCTGGGATCATGGGTTGGTGTTGTGTGCCTCCGTCAACTATCTCCGGACAGTGTCACTCTACGTGTCCACGAACGCGTTGCTTGCCATTGCAATTGACAGGTGAGTGTGTTATTTTTTTGTCATGTGTTCAGTTCAGCAAGAAACTTTCCAGTACTGTCTACAGAGATTTGAATCAACAAAGCTTTTGTGTTTTATCCGGCAACACTGTCTTTTCTCCTCAAAGAGCGTCACAAACAACATATACATCAGGTCTTTGGTCAGCTTTGGTGACTCAATCCACTCGTTCGTCGCCTTGCTGTATCCAAGAGATTTTGAGACTGATTTTTATCGGCAGATACAGTAAACAGATTTTCAGACTGTTGCCAGTCTTTGAATTACTGGTTTCAATCAAGCCATGATCACTAACCACATTTTAGCTGCACAAACTACAAGTGTAACTGAAGCGTCTCTACTCTCCGCTGCTTCATGCTCATTTTCTATTCACATTGAAGCAGTTGTGTTTACTTTTATCAGTGATGCAGTCCTGTTTATTGCTTCATTGGCATTATACTGCGCTTGAGCTTTATCTTGATGTATAATTCATGAAAATAAAATATTTGCGTTCGTGCACACTAGTGCTTCAAAGACGTGCTTTGATTCATTCTTGACTGGTAATTAGCTTGAAAACATTTCCCTTGGTGGGCTGCTCCCTTCAGTATGCAAGAGGTAGATGAATGTGTATATCCCTGTCCATCTGTGCAGGCTATATTTACCCCCCCCCCCCTATGGCACGGGCTGGATATACTGCAAACATGCATCACTGATGTTTTGAGCGGGAAATAATGCTGTTTACATACCAAAAAATACAGATCTCAAAAAACCAATGTGAGCATTCTGGCAACTTCACTCGTAGGACAAAGTACTTTAAGCACATTTAAGTACTTTCATCCAGTATAATTAAACTGAAAGGTGGTGGAAATATCTATAATAAGAGAAGGGATTGGATGGCATTAGCATAGCAGCATGTTAATACTGAATGTAACCTCATAGAAGCATAGGGGAGAGCCGGGCACAACATATACAACACATTTTAGTTTAATGCTATGAAAACTGTTTGAGATTTTTTTTGTTTGGTTGTTTTATTCTAACATTATCTGCTACAAATGAACAGTTGTTTTTTTTTTCTAGAACTTACTGTACCTCATGGGTGGGGTTCATTGTAACAGGCAGAGGGTTAGCTGTAACGCTTGCTGGAAAAGTCTCTTCAACGCAATTTAATCTTTATACTATAGGTTGACACTGTTTATGGATCTATCTATGATAGATATCCAAACATCTATCCATTCTTCATCTAAACACCAATGCTTCATGAATGGAAAGATCATGTTGTCTTATAGATATAGATATCTAGATAGATATCCATACGGGTATCCATCCATCTGTTAGTCTATCATCCATATTCAGTGGTTGGACTCATAGATGTAGCCAGGTCTCCAGAATGCAACCTCCATCACCTCCATTCCATTAATTTTCTTGCACTACATGAATGTCACGTTATTGCACCGCCTTGTAGTGCATGCCTTAATGTAGGGAGACACCTACACGTGAGCACGAGTATACACAAAGTCCACTTATTTAAAATTCAAGATTGGGTAACCTGGATCCACATGAAAAAATATGAGTATTGAATGTATGAATAGTGACAAGACTGTGAAATTGTGTGTCAGTAAGATACCTTTATTTAACCAGGAAGTCCCACTGAGATTGAAAATCTCTTTCACAAAAGAGACCTGGCCAAGGTAGCAGCCAATCAAAACACATTTAAAATGCAACACATACAACATATAATACAAAAATCCACAATAAAACAGCAACTATTGAAACATAGTGGCCTGTCAAGCAAAACAAGCACACCTTATGATGCCCTTAAATTTATCAATGGATAAAAGTGTTTTCTAATTTTAGTTCTTTTTGAAGATTGTTTCATGTCCAAGCTGCACAGTAGGAAAATGCAGTTTTCCCCAGATCTGTTAAAACTCGGGGTACAAGTTGTAGTACTTGTAACACGGTGTTACAGCTAACCCCACTTTGTGGAAATTTTTATCAAGCCTAGCTAACCCTTGCTGGGAGTTGGGTTCATAGTTCTAAACGTTGGTTTGTTTTAGGCAAGAAGACAAGTTATAAAGATGACATATGGTTGAAATTCGGAGACTTACATAGACAGCTCAGTAATCAATAAACAAGTACCACAAAGAAATTTACTCTTTGTTACTGAACTCTATGGAATTTCGTGGGTCACTGTTTAGTGGTATTGTGGTCAACTAGCCAGAAGTACAAAAGGACTGATCCTGTGTAACCACTTAAAAAGTCCATGTCACAATTTACCCTTTGTTAGGAGGTTCCCTGCACTCCCCTACTTCAATTACAGGGGATACTGAATTAACAGGATACTGTGTGTTCAGTATGTAGATAGACCAGAAAACAAAGGGCAGCAAAAAATTTCAAAAACATGTCATACACTGGTGAGAAATGTTTATTTTGAATCAATGAGCGTGCCCAGTTAATTAGAGGGTGGGAGTGACAGCACAGATACACACATGTTCAAACAGGCTTTTCTCACATGTGACTTTTTGACATGTGACCATTGGAAAGACACAGGTGTGAATGATCAAACCAGTTATGGCTGGATTTCATTCAGCTGTTCCAGTTTCAGGCTCCTGGTGTTCCATGGCTTACTGGGACACTTAACCAGAACAAAGCCGTCGTTAAGGTTATTAGTTAGGCTGACCAAACGTCCTCTTTTGCCCGGACATGTCCACTTTTCACGTCCTGTCCAGGGCGTCCGGGGGGTGTTTTTACATTGATGATAATGTCCGTTTTTCCTTGTGTGTGTGTGTGTTAGAGTGCGGCACGGGCCGCATATTTCTGTCCGAACGTGACAGTCATTCTGTTTTGTTATGTCCGAAACCGAACCAAGCCCGACATTATTTAATTACTAAAGCACTGAGTTTGTGTCACACAGTTGTTATGGTTACAGGCTATTTAACAGGCCGGGCATGCACCATGGGTGCTCCACGGAGAGGGAGACCTCCGTGTTTGAGATGGGAGTGGGCGGCAGGAGGTCCAATGATTCCAGCGAGGGGAGAGAGAGAAACAAACAGCCAATGTGTGTGTGTTGTGTTCAGGTGTAAATAACAGTCCCCAAGCAATAAACCGGACAGACAATGGGATTTTATTTATTTTTACACTACATTTTCACTGAAAGCTGACCGAATCCAACCCGAGCACGAATACAATTTATACATTTTTGACCGAACCTGGCCCGACCCGTCGGGTAGGCCTACCGTTGGGACCTGTCAGGCTCGGATCGGGTAGCCACACTCTAGTGTGTGTATGTGTCCCATCTGAATTGTGGTCTTTGAGAGATATTATTTGGTAATATAACTGAATTTTCTATCCATACATATAAATTTTAAATATATTAAAATGATAAGGCATCTTTGAGTAAACTGCGAGTATCATTTAAGTAGGCTATGTCGTGGCTGGGCCGAGTGTTCTCTTTTTTTGGAAATCAAAATATGGTCACCCTATTATTAGTAACACCTGTGCTGACAAGTCAACATGTCTGCTGTGGAAAAGGCGGGTATTCACATTTACTGATAAAGCCCCTGAGTGTAACACAGTTGGATAAACGATGCTAAAGAGCATGATTGCTTTGGGAGAGGCACAGATCATTAACACTTCCTTACTGCATGTCATCCATACAGGACCATAAGCTGTCCTGTCACTAATTGAGCGGACTGCTTCATTGCCTGCAACTGTGTCTCAGATATTTAAAGGCCTTAAATCCATGCTCCTGTAAGTACTGATTAAAGTCGGAGTCTCTCAAATGGTTGCTATTGATTTTTGCCATTCTTGTAACAAACTTGAGCACTTTTACACCGTGCATAAGTTTAGTTTTCTTGTAGTGAACCCAGGTCTCCAGAATGCAACCTCCACCACCTCCATTCCATGCATTTTCTTGCACTACATGAATGTCACGTTATTGCACCGCCTTGTAGTGCATGCCTTAATGTAGGGAGACACCTACACGTGAGCACGAGTGTACACAAAGTCCACTTATTTAAAATTCAAGATGCCCTGTGAGGAGATGTAACATAATGTGAAGGCTGGAAAAGGAGTGTTAAGTGTGCCGAAGTGATTATTCTGTATTGTTCAGTCAATAATCCCCCCGCTTTTGTGTGAGCTTACACCACAAACAACAGCTGACTGAGCGCAGCCTGTTATTGAAAATCCACATGCCTGCTGCCAAAATAATGGGCGATAATTTACTCCTTTTGTGGGTGGTGACCTGAATATATAGTGCATATTTAGATCTTACGTGTATTCTAAGGTAGTGTACATGGTAATACTGCAGCAGAAAAGTGAAGTGAATAAGACAACAGTGTTGGAAAATAAATATGAAATAAGTTAGTTAACATTTAGCTGAAGCTCATCCACCATCAATCATCATTTTTATTCATCATTCGTCACATGGAAATAATACATGGTATCACTACAATAGGCTATGTATGTAAACAGGAATCTTATCAAGAGGATGCTGTGTAATGCTGCTGAACATTAGCACATCATTATATACATTAAAAAAAAAAAAAATACCGCATGATACATAAAAAAAAAATTTGTGGATGAAGGATGGATGAAGTGTATCCATATAGAGTGCTGCAAGGATGGGGTTTATTTCCAAGGCCAAGATGAAAATTAACATCTCTGTGGTTCCCTCGACAAATCAATACAGCATCGTAGCGCAGTATTTTTTTTGTGACAATATCGTGAGATGTGAGATGACAGACTGAACACTTTTTATCTTATTAGATAAAACACATGTTGACATAGTTTTTCTTTTGGGACACAATTTACAGTTGAAAAAAGGTAATGGATCATAATATATCGCAATATATTTTATCGCAATTATTGCAACATTTTTAATCCATATCTGTTGGCATTCGACCTTTGAAAAACATTTTCATAGTGGCCAAAAAACTGTTTGCTTCTCAGCTTGCCTTACACAAAGAGAGGCACGGACCTGTGTTAACAGGCGGTCTAGCGCCATAAATTACATTTAATCATTCATATAGAAAAAGAGTCATTTAATCCAATGAATCACTTTATTGTTCACGTTTTCTTATGTTTTGTTTGATGATTTCTTTTGTTCTTTTAGGGTTATGATATCATAAAATATGATGACAGACATTTGAAGCATCATTCAAAGACCTTGTTGGCAGAGTAAGGCTATACAGTGGCTCAGCATTGTGAACCCAAAAGTTAAAAGATCAAGCACCAAATACAAGGATGAAAGAATATACTGAAAGAAATAAACTTGAATTGGAGACGCTCCGCTGTTTCCCCTTTCACCTACACACAACTGAACTCAGCTGCGGGTGCAAGGCTTTTATTAAACACGCCCACAATGGATATCAGACAGCTGGCCTGTCAGCCAATCAATCAGTCCTCAATCAACTCAAACAATCAATCAATAAACATAACATAACATTAAGTTTGCCCATCATAAACACAAAATAACAAATAAACATTTAATAATTGGGAGCACCAACTCAACACCCCCACTTACTCTTACATTATTACATCAAAACAAAAACAAAAATACATTAATTTTTTTTCTGTTCTTTTCAGTTTTTTTTTTTTTTTTTTTTCAGTTATCTCCAAACATAAACTTGGCAAACTTAATCAACTTAAATTTTGTTGGAGGTTTGGTCATCAAATCTGCTACCATCTGATCAGTAGGACAATACTCTAAGAGTATTTTCCCATTGTTCACAGTGGACTGTATTTTGACTAAGGCAACAGTACCTTGGTTGTCCTCATACACCTTAGGTAATGTATATAGATGTTTATCTATGCCCTCTAAAAGTTGTGTGAGGTACAGACACTCTTGGATGGTAGCGGCAAGTGCAATATACTCTGACCCACAAGTGGACAGTACTACGGTTGCCTGCTTTTTGGTTTTCCATGACACTTAAGTGCTGCCCTTGGTTGGGCTTATACAATAACCAGATGTACAGTACAGGCCAAAAGTTTGGACACACCTTCTCATTCAATGCGTTTTCTTTATTTTCATGACTATTTACATTGTAGATTCTCACTGAAGGCATCAAAACTATGAATGAACACATGTGGAGTTATGTACTTAACAAAAAAAGGTGAAATAACTGAAAACATGTTTTATATTCTAGTTTCTTCAAAATAGCCACCCTTTGCTCTGATTACTGCTTTGCACACTCTTGGCATTCTCTCGATGAGCTTCAAGAGGTAGTCACCTGAAATGGTTTTCCAACAGTCTTGAAGGAGTTCCCAGAGGTGTTTAGCACTTGTTGGCCCCTTTGCCTTCACTCTGCGGTCCAGCTCACCCCAAACCATCTGGATTGGGTTCAGGTCCGGTGACTGTGGAGGCCAGGTCATCTGCCGCAGCACTCCATCACTCTCCTTCTTGGTCAAATAGCCCTTACACAGCCTGGAGGTGTGTTTGGGGTCATTGTCCTGTTGAAAAGTAAATGATTGTCCAACTAAACGCAAACCGGATGGGATGGCATGCTGCTGCAGGATGCTGTGGTAGCCATGCTGGTTCAGTGTGCCTTCAATTTTGAATAAATCCCCAACAGTGTCACCAGCAAAACACCCCCACACCATCACACCTCCTCCTCCATGCTTCACAGTGGGAACCAGGCATGTGGAATCCATCCGTTCACCTTTTCTGCGTCTCACAAAGACACGGCGGTTGGAACCAAAGATCTCAAATTTGGACTCATCAGACCAAAGCACAGATTTCCACTGGTCTAATGTCCATTCCTTGTGTTTCTTGGCCCAAACAAATCTCTTCTGCGTGTTAACAGTTGTTCTAGAGATGGGTCTGCTGCTAGAACTCTGTGTGGCATTCATCTGGTCTCTGATCTGAGCTGCTGTTAACTTGCGATTTCTGAGGCTGGTGACTCTGATGAACTTATCCTCAGAAGCAGAGGTGACTCTTGGTCTTCCTTTCCTGGGTCGGTCCTCATGTGTGCCAGTTTCTTTGTAGCACTTGATGGTTTTTGCGACTCCACTTGGGGACACATTTAAAGTTTTTGCAATTTTCCGGACTGACTGACCTTCATTTCTTAAAGTTATGATGGCCACTCGTTTTTCTTTAGTTAGCTGATTGGTTCTTGCCATAATATGAATTTTAACAGTTGTCCAATAGGGCTGTCGGCTGTGTATTAACCTGACTTCTGCACAACACAACTGATGGTCCCAACCCCATTGATAAAGCAAGAAATTCCACTAATTAACCCTGATAAGGCACACCTGTGAAGTGGAAACCATTTCAGGTGACTACCTCTTGAAGCTCATCGAGAGAATGCCAAGAGTGTGCAAAGCAGTAATCAGAGCAAAGGGTGGCTATTTTGAAGAAACTAGAATATAAAACATGTTTTCAGTTATTTCACCTTTTTTTGTTAAGTACATAACTCCACATGTGTTCATTCATAGTTTTGATGCCTTCAGTGAGAATCTACAATGTAAATAGTCATGAAAATAAAGAAAACGCATTGAATGAGAAGGTGTGTCCAAACTTTTGGCCTGTACTGTACTTCGTCTGTCATTGACATCAGCAGCCCAATTCACATCACTGTATGCTTGTATACTCAGGTTCTCATCACTTTTCCTGTAACACAACTCTTTGTTACTTGTGCCTTTGAGATACCTCAGTACATGCTTAACTGTACCCCATTGCTATTATACCCAATAGCTTCGATTTTTTGTGTGGCAATATTTTATTAAAACACGGACACCAAGTACCATTTTTTTAATTATATAAATTAGTAATTTTGCAAGTACAAATCAAACTTCTGGTAGCCTACTAGAATAATGAAATTAATTTTCTTTCTCTCAAGAAGAGCATTTTGCTGCAATAGAATTGATGGAAGTGAGAAAATGTTTTCTTTGAGGGGCATTATTAACCGCTGAAAAAATGTAATAAATCGAAAAGTATGTCATCACAATACTCAGTGTATCAGAAAACGTTAAAAATTACTATAATACTGTATTATGACTGAAGTATTGTGCTAATTTTATATATCGTGGGGCCTCTGGTGATTCCCACCCCTATACCATAATCGCATGACTTAAATGCTAGCACCACAACAAGGCTTCAAAGCCGTGTTCGACATGATGACGTTCTGTGTCTCATTTAGCTGCTTGTTAGCAACTGTCTTTTATGAGAAACGTAAAGGTTTAAAAATGTACAAGTGGGATATTTACTGATGTATTTTATGTCGTAAAACAGGGGGTGCTAAAATGCTAACTCATTTCTGAGCTTTTGGACTCATTTCCTCACCACTCTAATGAAAAGGTTGACCTCTCAATTTAAAAATTTGATGTTTTTTTGAGTTTCTAACCATGCTGTGATTGAAAATATGAGGCTGTTTAAAAAAATATGGATTTAAACAAATCTAACAAACATTAGTAACATTTTTATGTTTGTATTTACCAAGGCTCAATCAACATGCACATTCTCTTTCCCTTGAAGTGGGTGGTGCTGGGATCAGATCCCCAGACAAGTTCACTGTAAAAATCACACTTGCTCCCGCACACACATTGAAGCTCTGTTTATTGGGTCATTGGGTCAACGTTGACCCAATGACCCAATAAACAGAGCTTCAATGTGTGTGCGGGAGCAAGTGTGATTTTTGCAGTTATGTAGCACCTATGCTTTTTGACTCCATAAAGGATTACCTTCTACCAGCATGAAAAATTCAGTCCCCTGAATAATGGAGCGCTGTGTATTAGACTTCAATCTTCCATGAATGACTGAGAGCAATTTGCTGAGTCTGTTGTCATCCCACAGGACTCAGAATACTGAACAGGGCAGTTTGATTGCTTTGTATTATGTTTCAGGTATTCTCTGCCTCTTAAATGCACAATATGTCTGTGTTCTTCCAGGTACATGGCCATAGTCCATCCTCTGCAGCCTCGTATGAAGTATCAAACAGCCTACTGCCTGATAACAGGGGTTTGGATCGTCCCCATCCTGATATCAATTCCCTCCGCCTACTTTGCCTCAGAGACCATGTACCCTCATGGCGGCACCACCCCAACCACCCACAAAGTCTTCTGTGCCCAGATCTGGCCTGTGGACCAGCAGGCCTACTATCGGTCCTACTTTTTGTTTGTTTTTGCTGTGGAGTTTGTTGGGCCTGTGATCGCCATGGCAATGTGCTACGCCCGAATTTCCCGCGAGCTCTGGTTCAAGAATGTCCCAGGTTTCCAGACAGAGCAGATCAGGAAGAGGCTGCGTTGTCGCCGCAAGACAGTGATGGTCTTGATCGGTATTTTGACGGCGTACATCTTGTGCTGGGCACCGTACTATGGCTTCACCATCCTGCGAGACTTCCATCCAACGCTCATCTCCCGTCAGAAGAACTCGTTGGTGGCCTTCTACATCATCGAGTGCATTGCCATGAGCAACAGCATGATCAATACCTTCTGTTTTGTGACTGTCAAAAACAACACGGTTAAATACCTGAAGAAGATTGTACTGCTGCGCTGGAGGTCGACCTATACGCCCACTAAAACTGTGGATGAGATGGACATTAGGACCTCCACCTTGCCTGTAACAGAGGAGATTGAATGCATTCACTTGAGGTGAAGAGAAGAACGTCTTAATGTAACACTCATTTAGATTTGGGCTGTTGATGTACAGAAATTAAGTAGTTGAATGATAATTTTGACGTGGGACATTTCTCTCATGGTTAAATCACATTTTGGAAGGATATCAAGCATCATGAAGCACAAGGAAAGATCAAACTGGTAGTGTAGTCTACATGATGGGCATGTATACACACATAGATCCTAAAAAAGCTCCAGGTTTCCATATACCCACTAAAAAATGTACAAGGATACGTAACAACATCGTTTTGTGACAGAACTTTCACTTCAGCTATTTGTTTCCGCAAGGGGTAAACAGATGTGACAGCAAACTGAGCAAAAGCTGCAGACCATGCAGAGACTCGTCATCATTCCCTCCCCCCATGCAGCTGCGTGCAGTGTGTAGTGTCTGCAGAGCAAGTGTGTGGTCAAACGTGTGTACGAGAGAGAGTGACGGTGGATACGCCCAGAGCAGACAGCTGTTGGCCATTGGAGCAAAGAGGGAATTAGCTGTAAAGTTGTGAGGTGGTAGTAAATGTACAGTGTAGGTTTCAGTTTGTCTTTGATGAAACAGTCAAGACCCAGGTAAAGTCCTTGTGTTTTGCTTCTTAAGTGCTGGGTGAACTGAAGTTAGGAAGCATCAACCTCTGCCCTGGAGGTTAAACCATGTCTCCTTGTTGCCTAGCCACCTTGTGAAGCACAGTACGTACTGCATTCCCATATGGAGCTTTTAGTTTGACTGTAACCTAACCTTGTTTATTTATTTTTTATTTAGAGCAATACTGTGGGAAAAACTAAATCTGTCAGTTTACATACCTTAATATTTTCTACAATATCTCCCTCTCAAGACACAGCTGATATGACTGTTATTACAGGAACTATCCATCCCAGCATATAAAGCACATGTTCATATAGTTTATATATACATGACAGGAGCAAGATTTTAGACATAACTCACAATATTAACTCATAATCCTATAGACATACAGTTCATAGTCCAAAGCGTTTAAATCTCCCCAGCTCTAAATGTCCTTGGCTGTTACAGTGTTGTGTTGGTTACAATAAATTGTTTCAGGATGTTTCATCCTGGTAACACACACTCAATCTCTTTGAATTGCCTCAGTTATGTGTGAATGCATGTACTCTATGTCAGTATGGTGGTTTATGGGGTGTTGCATTGGGTCAAATCCTAGGGCTCCGATCAAGAGAATGTGTTTTGGAAGCCTGGGGTGGCTTTTTAAAATGGTTTTCAGTGAGAGTTAGCCGTTTTGCACGCTGCTTTTAAGTTGCTGAGTGCCACATGTTTTAGTGCTCAAATGCACTCAACACAAGCGCCCAATGTCATTTTTCTTATTGTCCAATCAGATTTATTAAGAGGCAGCCTTCTGTGGTGGCTATGACAAGTGGTAGGATGCAATATTGGCCCTGATCACACAGAAAGCGTTTTGCAGGTTGCAAAATGCGAGGTGCAGCATACTGCCTTTTTTTGTTTTTAAATTAAATGCCATCAGTTAAAAAAACTGCACCTTTTTAATTGTTGCCAGGCAACTACCCTATCACCTCCTTACACAATATCATTTTTTCGTTTTCGTTGTTGTTTTCACAGTAATTAATAGCTGGTTACTAAAGTGGACAGGAAGAGGGTACTTGCTGTAGCTCTGGTTTAGGGTTAGAGGCTGTCAGTAAATAGTCTGTTAGGCACAGGGAAGTGGAGATCAGTGTGGGTACATGAGACCCTAAAAAGGAGGGTGGATCATGGGAAGTACCACCAGTTGGTCCAGGAGCTTCGCATCCATGATGGCTGTTTCCAGACATATTTTAGGATGACTCAGGGGCAGTTTGACAACCTGCTGTTGTCAGGCCGTATAGCTCTGTGTATCCAGCAACCGCTACCACCACTTTCTCCTCCATTGTTTACCAACTGTAAACTTGTTGTTGTGACCACCAGCGAAGGCCTGCCTCCCAAATCATCGAATTGGACAATAGGAAAAAAGATGACAAAAGTTTTTTCAACTCAAGGAGTTCAGAGCACTCCGGCAAAAACACCAGGTACCCAGAGCGCAGAAACACAAGGCGCATCACAAAGCAAAAAATGCCCTACTAGGCAACACATAGCTGAACAAATCGTCATCTCAACTACTTTCTGACCTGTGTCCAGTCCCCAAATGCAGATTCAAAGGTACAGAAAGCACTCTGTCTGATTTAGGGCAAACAGGTCACTGAACATAGATCAAACTTTGTTATTCAGCAGCAGATACAGTGCAGGACTTCCATGAGAATGTAATTGTTGTGTACACTGTGACTTTACACTGTGTAATTGTGAAGTGTTGTAGCATGTGTTTATGAAATATGACATGGAATACTTGTAAATAACAGCTGCCACTGTCTTTACTGATCCATGATGTTGACTACAGTACCTAATCTTTGTATTGCCTGTACAGTGTCTGTTTTCAAATTCACTGAAGGTCAAAGAACTCTTAGAGGTTCTTTCATTGACCGTTGTATTTATATTTCAAGTTTTGTGTTTTCTGTTTTTCTTTTTTGAAAATCAGGAATTATATGTCACTCTGTGGAATGTACAGCATTGAGAAGGTTCAGTTGAAGAAGAGATAAACCAATGAAGACATATTCCCACGTCTTTTGAATGTCTTAAAAAATGTCTTGATTATGTGTTCTTTGAAAAGAGTCAATATATTGCATGTTGTCTTTGTAGATGGATGGATTGTATGTGCGTCAGTTGTAATAAACAATGAGACCCTGGAATGAAAAGCTGCTTTTATTTAATGGGCTGTACTTTGTTGTTTTTTTTCTTTTATGTAAGTTGCCTATAACATCCAAGGACTCATTCATTATCAAATGAACACTTCACACAGCATACAGTACTGTGACCGTCATTGTGAACCCTGTCATGTACAGACACACACATAGAAATAATGAGGGGCTAAAGAAAAGCCCCTCCTTTGGCTTTTTTTAAATCATCCCAGATTTCATTAGTCAGTCATGTTGGCACACACTGTTAATGAGAACACTAGTGCCACAGTAGACCTCTGTCAAACATTTGGACTTGCCACAGTAGGAAAACTAATGACATCAGCATGGCTTAGTACCATTAAGTCTCCCAGTAAGCTGTTCCAGTGAGCCAACATGGACAATACCAAGGCCATTACCAAGAGGAATGCAGCTGTCATCAATGTTCTTGAACATTTCAAAGCCAAAATGTCTGCTGTGAAAAAGGTCTATGAAGACTTGGCAAGATTATCTAAAGCCCACGAGCTGTTCTTGTTCTCGTTATATACGTGGAATTTCTGGATCCTTATAAATGGTATAGGTGATCATGTCTTATCTGTGGATAAATTGGAAGTGCACAGCGAATGATAAGAATGAGCCTCGGGTTTTGGTGTCATGCTCTCAGAATCACCATGCATTTGCTCTTTGCACTGACACTCTGCTGTCTTTTTAATTTGAAATCTTGAAACCCACTGTCGAACATGTGTTAACAACCTGGCCAGCTCATGAATTTTACATTTCAGTATGCCTCTGCCGCAGAATTAAAGTAGCTAATTCATGCCTGCTTCTTTTCGTTGTAAGACACTCTGAGAATATCATATGAGTCACTGCCAAAATACATTTACATCCAAAATAGTTTGTTTTAAATGTGTTGAGGTATCACACAGCATATCTTTTATAATTCAGAGTTATTAGATGTAGTTTTAATATTTAGAAAAATTATTGGCGTTGGAAAACAAAGGTTACAGTACCTTAACCCTAGTTCTAGTAGGGAGCCCTTTACTGGAATCAATGGATAATACTTTGCTCCAGTCACAAGCATGCAGTGCCCATTGAAATTTGAATTAATGTAGCCAGCCAATCAGGACCAAAATGCCTGCATCCCACAAAGTATAAACAACAATACCATCACACTATCCGCCATCCTCTTCAGTGAGGGGCGTAAGACCGGCAGGGCCTCTACATGGAGGACTCCGCCTGTGCTAATAGGACTAGTGTTACAATATTGTAACCTTTGCTCTAGACTTTCTGGGTACGGTGTGTGGAGCTCAGTGACTAAACGCCCTGTCACAACATAACATCGACCCAGTCACACTGATCCTGACCGGCTACAGGTTTGTCACTGCGGTGTGCAAATCACTGTCACTAAAGGGAACAGTGTGGCAGACAGCTTTTCAGTACTGCAATATAGGCACGTTCTATTTGGCCAGCTTCGTTTCTGCAAATTTCAGTGGGTGATTGCATGCTAATGATATTGAATAGTATTAATTATAGAGTCCAGTAGAGTGCTAACCCTTATGAAATTGAACATGACCATGTTTCAGCATCTGAGAATAAATTCTATGTAAAGATCCTGACTCATCATGTCAAGTCAGTTCTCTGATGGTCACAAAGCACACATGATGGACGGAGACCAAAGGTGGTTTGAAAGAGGAAAGAAGATGGTTATCTACACACTCAGTCATCCTGCCTTGGGTCATGCATGGCTGGAGGCTATCTCAGCAAACATTGGGTAAAAGACATTGAACAGGCTGCCAATCCATCAGTAAGTGAAGGGTCAGGCCAGAACAACCTGCCCTGAACAAAGGGGGAGGTGGTGACACTATTTATCAGCAACTACCAATGTTATCCTGATGTCAGTCAGGAAACTTCACAGTAATCCCCCACCACACCTTGTTCAACATGACAGAGATGGTTTTCGCAGAAGGTCGTGTGACCTTAATGATTTTTGTGACTGTCATTTGTAAAAAAAAAATCAAGGTGTGAATGACAGAGGTCACATCACCTGGGACTCAAGGAAAGACGTGTCGCATCATGCACAAAGGAAATTGAAACACATTTAGAAGATATTTGCTTTTTTGTCACATGTACTCCCAAGCTTACCTGAATGAAGATTTGAAAAAGTATATGGTTTTATCACTATGTATATTTTGATGCAGAGATCCAGACGAAGATGCAAGTAAAACAAATCTAAACATTTACTTCTGACAATTTTGAATATCTTTGCTTTATGGCTTCTTTCTTATTCTAACATTGTGCTGAGTTTAACTAGGAAAAAACACACCAGAGATAAGGGTTTGGGGAGGGGCTATGTGGCCAGGAGTTGTTGTGGGGGACAGCGTAAACTAGAAATATTAATTTTGATTTTTCTTTATAATCAATATTAATGTTTTCATTTACACTGACAGGAATGGACACTTGACAGACATTTTTCCTTTGTATTTGTAATTGACCCTTCACTAAGCCCCGCCCCCCTTAGTTAATGTTGCTACGTCCATCAAGCTTTCACTCCTAGCATAAGAAATATGGAGTTTTCAGTGATATCAGTACGAGATATTCCAAAGAAGATAACATCAAAATTCTGGAAAAACTGTTCGGAGATATCAGAGAGAAGCCGACAGAAAGGTCTTCAATATGCATGTGAGAGCTACATTCACAATATCATCTGCTGGCGGAGTATAAATCACGAGAACATTAAAATAGAGGGAAAAGCTCACCTTTCACAATGTAAGCGTCAGGTACCCCATGTCTTGACACTTCACATGAAGGACAAAGAATGTTCTTGTACAGTAGGGTAAGTCAATATATGGTTTAAATTTAAGTTAATGTTGAGTTATGTTCCCTCCTTGGGGCAGACGAAGGGAGAGCAGCTAACGTTAGTTAGCATCTGAACTTGGAACAAACATAGGTGTTTTTATTGATCCTTGCTGGGTTCAGCTGTTTGTGTGGTCTTCCACACTGTTTTAGCCATATCTGGCATCTCTCTCCTTGGGTCTTGGGCTTGTGGAAGGGGAAAAATTCAACACCACCTTCGACACTTTTTGGATATCGGGTGTCGGACTTGCAGGTACCGTATGCACACCGCTTTGGCGTATTAGCTTCTGCTGAAAGCTTGACAGACCTCTCGGTTGCTACACACGGTTGCTAAGGTAGGATTGGACAGCGACTGTTTAAGGGAGAGGCTTAGCGAAGGGTCAATTGGGGTTGTTGGGTTTTTTTTTTCATTTTTTTTTTTTTCATTTTTGGTATTTTCATATTTGTAAAGTCAAGTCTGTTTTATTCAATTACTGGTAGCCCAGTATCACAAATCACTAATTCTTCCTGAGGTTTGAAAGAAACCTCAGGAAGAGCAGGAAGAGCAACAGAGGAAGGATCCCAGTCCCAAGATGGACAGATGCGCTAGATGTTGATGCTGCCTTCTTGACGTTGCTTGAACGAAGTAGGTCAACATAGTACAATTAGAGTATTGACACTCAGTGTGACCAAATTATATATATGTATATAACATGAAGATCTGGGAGGACACTAAGCAACTTGAGGTCTCATTAAACAGATAGGACCTGAGTTACACCACATCCTCTCCACCATGAAGACCTAGAAAAAAAGGCTACATAGACTGACAAGAGGCAAAGCTCAAGCACACCATTTACACAAGTAGGAGAAAGAAACAAACACAAGGGAGGAAGAGAGACAAGAAGAGAGGCATCTTGAATGAAGGACAAACAGCCAGGTGGGGGAGAGAAAGGTACCAGAGATGCTGATGGTCAAGCACAAAGAAGCCTGAGTGAAAAGCAAGAGAGATGGAGGGAGGGAGAGTGAAGATGACAGGCACCCAGCTTTGTGTGTGGGACATAAACAGGAGGATTACAGCAGTAAACAGACAGCATGTACTCTATGTAATCCATGTGTATTGATTTGTGTGTTTCTGGTACTCCACTAAGCAATCTGTGAGCAACACTGGAAGTATAGATAGTGGGGTAGATGTATAAGATGCATAAATAGTTAACA